ATGCGAAGTGTTATTTACATGTCTCTCCATCAAAGGATGTTTTCTTGAGCCCGCAAACCCAAGATTGGCTATCATAGATTCATAGTCCAGACTATTGACTGAAACAATAATTGTTAATGTGCACTCAATTCCAGGGCCACACACCTACTTTGATGCCAGGTTATTTGGACAGTACATTCTGGAGGCAAACATAAGTTTTGTGCTTGGCTTTTAGAGTTTTAGTTCAGAGCAAAGTGCTGACAGTTGACAAGTTTATAGCGCGCAAAAGCCATGGAATCCAAACTGTTCACTTTGCGATCAACAGCTTACGGCACCTCTCTTCCTACTTTGCAGTTTTTCATGGGAGGTGTGAGAGATAAGCTGATCAGTTGAAATATATATTTATCATATTCTACTATATGCAGTGGCGAAGCTAGACTACAAATTACCATGGTGCCGGTATCGAATTTATGCTTAAATTTTAAGCAACTAGCTGGTCAAAACAAGACTGTTAGTGTTAATTTTTTTTGCCTACCCTATATGTTAGCTCATTTTTTCATGGCACAAGGAGCTTTGCTTTTGTAGGGATGATCAATACTTTGTTGGGAAGGACAAAGATAAGATTACTCAAGAAAAGAAAACAAAAATGCCGAGACTGTTGTTAGATTGTGGAGATGATTAACAGTAGCAAAATCTTGTCCGATTTTACACCGTACTAGATGATATGGTTGGAGAACTGAATTGTCTGAGTTGACGAACCTGAAATTTAATCGTCAGTATAAAAGGACAATTACAACCTAATTGGATAGTGCTGAGTACAGGACAACTGAGTACTGTTAGGATTAGCTATTAGTCTCAACCTTTGGTTTCATTTGACTGCATTTTACTACTATACAACAGTTAAATATCAGTTTATCAGTCTCAATTTCACAGCGAGCGCACTCAACCAACGTAACTGCAACCTTTTGCCCACAACTACAGATAAAAACTGTTTTGTTGAGGACAACGAGAGCATTAAAAATTAGGGACAACCATAGAGTTGACAGTCAATTGTAAAAGATCAAAGCAAATCACATTATGCAAAGCTCAAATGGGAATGCTAACAAATAACATGGAGGGAAAAAAGACTCAATGAGAGTAGAGTACCTTAAGATTTTTAATGGCAAACATAAATAAACTAGAGCAAGGAAAATCTAAATTTGTGTATAACTAACAAATAATGAGAGGACTTACAAAGGGACAATCTTGCAACCTAGCTCATAAAAGTAAGGGCATCTAACCCTCAAATCAACACATGCTGCATCAGCTTGGATCTCCTTCCGTGTTCTGCAGCATTACAACAACATTAAAATTAGAACACTGCACAACCTTTGTTTTATACTCCAGTTTTCAACACCAAAAATTGAAGTGCTCAGCAAAAACCAAACTCTTGAGTGTCATTTGAATACTCAGGGTAACTGAAGATGGTTTCCTTTTGTCAGGAACTCATATTTTGAACAAATCCATTTTTGCAGGTACGAAAACAAAGGTTGATGAATCTACTATTTCTTTATAAGTGCAACCAACTTAAGGTCATTAACTCCTATTTCTCTCAACTCTCATGCAGCCACATCACCCATATTATTTACGCCGTTGGATCCTAGCATCTTGCTCCATCTGTCCATCCATCCTTTTACCTGGTGCACATCTTGAGGCAAGTCTTATTCCTTCCCTGCCCACCCATTTCTTCACTTCGTGCAGTAACTGGTCACAAGGCTGCCCACCCATTTCTTAACTTCGTGCAGTAACTGGTCACAAGGAGAGAGGCTAAAGAAGAAACTCCCACCACTATGGATAAATTACTCCATGCGTTAGTAACTTCCTCCACCATTGTGCAATCAAGAGGGACTAATGGCATTGATGGCATTAATCCTCCACTAATCCCTCTCCACTCGGTAGCATACTAGCATTCCTATATAAAAGACAAGTGTCCTCCAATTCAGGTGAACTTTTCAGCATTTTTGGCAGAAGCTGAGTACCGCCACCCGATTCCAGACCCCAACCCATATGCATTCTTTAGAATAAGCATGTTCTTTTTTCAGTTCTAATTTTTGTTACATTTTATTTATTGTGGATCGTTTCATTGCTCCCGTCCCTACTTAGTTTCGGTGTCCTTGATCGACCTGCTCCCATCCCTCATTAGTTTTAGTTTCCTACATCGATTTGCACTGATGGTATATCTAAAGATTGTTTGCCTTGCATTTTGAAAGTTTTTATGCAGCTGCATATGTAATGGAATGAGAGGCGCAATGGCTGCTCAAACCCTTTGCCATGTAGTATCGATTCAACACGTATAGGAAAGCTGAGTCGGACTTTTGCATGATAATGGACACCTCAATAGGCATAGCTGCTGCCTTTCCACAATGCAACTCACGTTCCAGGAGCCATCATCTCAAGCCGGCCTTGGATCTTAATGTCCAGTGCATGGACCTCCATGCACTGAACTTTTATCTTTTTTTTTTCACATGAAAAGTTCTGATTAATAGTTCTTCCACATTTTTCATTGCCAAATACATTGGTGTGAAGCACACATACCAATAGAGATATATTGCTTTATTTTGTTCTCACAATTAATGTAAAATGAATTATATATTTTCTTTCTTGGATTACATATCTAACTAAGAATGAGTTTACTAGCATGAATGATACCTGCTCACCCACTCATATAGGCACTATATATGTGCAATAAAAGTTCTTCACAATACATTTAACGGGCACAAATATTCAAGTTCAACGAGTGTAACAACTAAGTATAATTAGGATGGTATCTAAGATATAAAGAGAAGCCCACATTGGTTCATAGAAGAAACAAAAGCTCTATGAAGATGTTTGATAGTTGATCAGTTCATTTATATATCGTTATATTCGTTTCTTAAAATCATCTACTAATCATGCATTCTAGATCATCCTAACCAATTTATTTCTGTTTTTTTTCTGCTCATTATTTTTTCAATTTCCATTGTCCCGCAGCACCGCGCGGGGTTTCATCTAGTGTAAACTATTTCTGCGATAAACTACAGTAGACACATAGGCCAGATGAGCCCCCTTTGACAAGTTTTTCAGAAACTTCCATTTATATCAATCATATAAGAATACAGGTTATCTGTTGTACTTCACTGTTGCTCTTCAGTGTACGCAGCAATGCAGTACAAGGAACAGAGGAAACCTACTTCTGTGTGAAGCATGGAGGTACATTTATTGACACTACTTGGTCCAGAGTCAGCAGCCCATGCGCAAGCCAAAATGGGAGGTCTACCTTGGCACCCTTCTCTACCTGGATACAATGTAAAATCAAAGTTTCAATTGAATGAGAATGGATAAAATGGTGTCAACAATGCAAAATCCCCAATCCCAGGTGGGATTCACAACAAATGTGGCAGACAGCACAAGTAAACACCTCACCTTCCAGATCAGAAGATTTTTACATAAGAAACATCTCCACTAACCGTCATTCAAATTCCAAAACAGTTCCATTTTGACATGTATGAAGCAGGTGTATATAATACCCTTTCAGTAGAAAGTGTCAATGAAAAATGCAATTGGACAGATTCTTACACAGTTACTTTCGGCACCCGGGTCTAGAAGGCCGACGCCGTTTGCGGTTACTTGGAAAACAACTGAAATAGGCTGCAGGCAGAGGAGAAATACACTCAGCCCGGTCTAACAAGCAAAATTCAAGAAAAAAGATTAAAAAAAAAGTAGGCATCCTCAGTTACCTCCTCCTCCATGAGGATGTCATCGATGTCGTAGTACCCCGGCATCGCAGCAAGCGGACAGGGTCACAACCGCTTGCTCCCAACTCTGCAAGACCGATTCGCGTCATGTCAATCTACAGAGGCTGGCAATTCGCCTCAGGACGGATAGGCACGGACGAAATTCGAGCAGTGGTGGAAACATGCATCTGCCGGGTACAGAGGCCCGTGTGTTCCTCAATCGGCTAGATCGGTTCAAAGCCACCGGGCTTCGGTCATTGGGTCGTGTCTGAGAGAAATCGATACGGATTTGAAGGCGTACCTTCCTACAGGCGCGAGGAGGTCAGGTCGCCACTCGGCAGCGTCGGCAGGCGACTACGAAGGGGGGCCTGCGGTCGGTACGGGGGAACTGGGCGGCTGCAGGCGATGGAGACCGCGGGGCGGGGCGGGGCGGAGCGACGACGGCGGCGGCGGCGGCGGTGGGGAGGATCTGGGCGGGGAAATTTTGGGAATCTGTTTTCGCGGCTTTACTTCCCGCTCATTTGGTGCGGGAGTACAGTACTCTTGAAGCAGAACAGCGGGAGAAAAAGAATGGATCGCTTGTTGGATCTGGCCCAAAAAGAATGGCCCAGCAACGGATCAGAGGCGCGCATAAGCAGGCTGCCCAGCGCGGGAGCCCAGGTTCAGTTCGTCCTTTCATTTGTTTTTATAATTTCAGTATATTGATGATCTCTGTTTTGGTATTATTTCAAAAAAGAAAGTCTGGTATTTCACCATACTCTGACCAGTTTTGAATTTTGACTCTAGGACATGGAGTTTAGTTCAATTATGAACTAATTTTCTTGTCCAAACGTCAATATTTTGCAACTGGAGGGAGAATAGTTTATATTTTTGGAAAATAAAGGTTCAATTCTTTTTAGAAAAAACAGTTCAAAATCTAAAACAAAATTGTTAAATTGCATTCAACATTTTGAAAGACTTGAATCAACGCTTCATAAAAAAACCAGTCTCAACTATTTGAAAGAACAAGTTCAAAACTTCGAGAGCCCTTTGTTGTTGATGACTCGTACGTACGTTTTTCTTTAAAGCATTCATTTCCATCTATTATTCTCTTCTTTTAGGAGACGATTTCTGGAGCTGTGAGTGGCGAACACTCTTTTAGGAGACTTAGCATCTCTGAAGACTGAGCCGGCAAATCATCTAGATTGACGAAGTCACCAGTGGCGCTTCGCTGTCGACGGTCACGGCGTCTACCGCTGAAAGCATAAAGCCGTTAAATCATAGAAAATTCGCTTCCACCGGGAGTCGAACCCAGGACCTCATGTGTTACTAAGGCCCTTGTAACCATTAGGCTATAGACCCTTTCTCTTTAGGAGACCATTTATCCATGAGGAGCAACAAAGTTGTCAGTGATGACGAGCAACAAGCAACATTTATCAGTGAGGAGCAGCAAAGTTGTCATAGTGGCTTTGATCGCCTAGCAGCATACGACTTTAGGAAAGTTATACCACAATGGACACTATAAATTATCATACACCACCCCATATTGTAAAACCGTAACTCTTGCTGCATAGTGCCGTGTAAATTCAACAACAAAAGAGGCAAAATAAACTGCAATGTATACAATTCATATAGATTCACCAGGCTCTTCGTAGCTTACTCGTGATACTTCATATAGATTCACCAAGCTCTTCGTTGCTTGCTTATATGTATGTTACACCATTGAGAAATTACCTATGTATCCGAGAGTTCTAAGTGCTAGTGGCGAAGCCATGTATCATGTTTATTACTCGTTACATGATAGGTAGACCCAGTGGCGGGGCGTCCCCCACCGCGCTAATCCATCGCCGTAAAGCTTTCCTGCTCCAACACTGGCCCAACCGTCATCTCCCGCTGTCTGCGAGGCGACGCCCCGCCTCCACCGTCTTTCCTGCTTCACCCAAACCCCTCTTCTAGGTCCAACGGTCATGGAAGCCCTCAATGTCCCAATTAATCTTAACAATCCCTCAACTCTAACCTCACCGAGAATTCAACGTCAACTGAGTGATTGCTCAATCTGAGTCAATTGCACACAAGTAATCCGTTTTAGTAATTAGAATCATGTATGAAAAATTTAAGAATTACATATTTGATTTTAGGCAAACAGAAACAAAAATTGAGGATAAAAACAGTTAAGAGTTTAGGGCACTGCTTAAATTTGGAATCGGAGACGAATACACGAGTATCAGCAAATTAATCAATGGATGGATCAGGAGACAAACTGACGAAGTAACGATGTTATTGTCTTGCTTACATGCTGCGTCGCTACATTTTTTCCTGCCCACAGCTCCTGCACAGACGTGCGAAGCCTGTCTGTGTATTATCGTTCCTGACAATAATTCCACTTCCTAGATAACGAAGCCTTAGGCAATTGGGCTGGTCTATGTGCCGTCACGCAATCCCCTTGGGCCGGCCTGCTCTTTTACTAATCTAGGTGCTGTTTGGTTCAGCGCTGGTAACGATATCGCAATCGCAATCAGTTGCACCTGTAATCGCAATCAATGTATGCCATTACGGCCTTTGTTTGGTTTGATTCTGTAACGGTTTAGATTTGCATCACATCGAAAGAGTCTACTCTGTAGACGAACGGAAGCCCCGATCGGGGAGGGAGGTCACTTGCCGAGAGGCCGAGATCATCGGCGATGGCGGTGGAATCGGTTGGCGGAGGGGAGACGTGCTGCTCTCGCTTTGTGCGTTTGTCCTCCTCCTTGTCCTTATGCAGATCTTCCGCCAGACGCCATGGATTTGAACAAGGACAGATCAGATTAAGGAGAGGGGATTTGGAGGAGAAAGAGAGAGAGGTGGGGAAGCGGGGAGGGATCGATAGGGGAGGCGAGGTCGAATCGCTTCTCGACGGAGCACTTGGCGGCACCATCCGGTGGAGAGGAGAGGAGAGGCGAGGCGAGGCTGGGAGTCGAAGCAGAGGAGTCGATTGCGGCGGAGTCGAGCGCGATTACAGCCGGCCACGAGGAGTTTCGATGTTGAATAGGCTGGTATCCCATTAGTTAGGGGGGGGGGGGGGGGCATGGCCCCTGCTGGAGTCGCCCCCCCCCCCCCCCCCCCCCCCCCCCCCGGCTCCGCACTGGGTAGACCACGGTATTTACTCTTCCGCCCATTAACAATTTCATATTTGTTTAGTTTTTCCTCTTTCGTTGTGAAATCTCTCTCGCTATTTCTCTTTGCTTCTTATCATGGAGGGTGTTGCCACTTAGGCACGTTCAACTTGTTTATTTATATTTTATAGGCTATGAAATTTTTTCTTGATCACTTTTTTGACAGTTCATCCATTACTCCTCCTAGACTAGAAAGATATCCTAGAACCAATTGCCTATAACTCAACTGATTTGGTATGGAAGCTGCATGTGGGTTGGTAGGGACAAAGAAACGGAAAACAAAAAATGGAATACCACCAATCCCCAATACAGAGTAGCTTTACTTTCTTCCGTTCGATGCTCCTTTGTCCTTCCTACTGTCCTCCCCACTTCCTTGCGGCCATTCCTGGTCAAAATCGCATTTCTCTCCCCTTCATAGCTTTTCCGATCATGCTGCCCTCTCATTGTCCAGTGCAGCAGCCTTAACAGCGGCAACCCTGCCGAGGACACGGGACAAAACCTTGAGTTGCGAAGCCACCTGCTGGAATCTTGTACGATTAGGAACATTGTTACCGTGGGTCGATCAGAGAATGCTTGAACCATCTGACACGGAAGCTACATAGTGGTGGCTTTTGCTCAACATCACTTTCCTGTCGTCCTCTTGCATGGAAGAAATTACTTGACTATTCATAGCACATGTTTGCATCATGAACTAGATTAGGAGACAGTACGAGATTTAAGCTAGCTGGAGTGGATCCTTAGAGCCAAGAACTATCCAATGATGTTCTGAAAGGTGGAGCTAAATCAAAACTTAGCATGCATCTCATAGACCATATATAGCCACGGGGGGTTCCATGGTTGTGAGTGGAACATCTACTAGGATCTTTTGTGGCAGCTTCTTTCCCGACGTCTTCCATTCGTATCCAACATCTTGTCTAATGTAGTGGAGATGACTATTAGCATGCCTTTCCCTCTCTTTACTCCCCATCAGTGGGCGTGTGAGTGATATACATAAGTATGAAAGTGATTGAACTATCTTAGGAGTATCTCTGAAACAATGTACGTGCTCTTTCTTAATATGTTGTACAATAGTGTTTGTACGTGAAAGTTTTGCATTTTAATTGTATTCAGTCACATGTACCAATGAATCCCTTCACTGGTAGATTTAGCTGATTAGCATTTTCTGATATGAGCGTAACGTTTCTCTTCACTCTATATTAGGCTTGATGGGTTTGCTCGTGAAAAGCCAACATTCAACTCTTTCTCCTTATTTCTCTCTGTTTTCTTTGGATGGCATCCATTGCCAGACTCCAGAGAGAAATAAAGCTGTAATGAAGCTTATTTCTTTTCCCTATATGCCTACACAGCTGTAATAAAATTGATCGAATTTATAGAAACACAGTCAACCAATCTCAGAAATATAATAAACTTATTTTGTGACAGAGGTAGTAGAAGTTAGGGTCTGTTTGGCACAGCTTCTGACACTGTAGCTACAGCAAAAACACTGTAGCAGAATTCATTTTTTGACAGAATCCAAAAGCAGCAAAAACGTAGCTTCTCACGGATTCTGTCACTGTAGCTACAGTAGCTACAGTGTTGCTGCAGTGTCAGAATCCGTTTTGGAGAATCTCTCCCAAAGAGGCTCTTAGTTCATGTAGGTGACGTCAGCAATCATAACCCACCCGCAACTCGGACCTGCCGCTGCCGTCGCGTGCTACTATTTTCAAAATGGATCCACCAGAGTTCGTGCTTCTTCCGATTGACCGAAAATTAGAAAGCGCACCTTTTTAGGATCTCTAAGGCACTTTCAGCACTCATATCCACAACAACAACTGTTTTTTCTTATTTTGTGATTGGTACAAAGGTCAAAAAGGATGTATAAAAAAGACCTCTGAATTGGGGTAAAACACAGATATGTAACTGAGCATGAAGGATCAACAGCTGCCAAGGATGATGGAGCCTGAGCCGGCGGCTTTGGAGGTTGAAGGCACAAGTTACGACGGCAATGAAGAGGTGGAGCAGAGTACCCGCAGATGGGCAGTGAATAGATGCATACAAATCGCGGCGGCCGTAGCGACACAGGAGGGCGGCCTCTTCTATGGTAGAAGCTTGGGCCTCGCAAGGATCAGGACAATGCACACGAGGCGGAGTGCGCGTTGGAAATGGCCTGTTCCCCTCCTCAACCAGTGGCGGATCCAGCGGGGCAGCAGGGGGGTCTCAAGCCCCCCCTACTCGCCGCCGCGCCATGGAGCCCCCCCTTGAGCCCCTCCTACAATTTTTTAGCCATGGAAGAGAGAAGGGAGACCTCTGGCTGGAGGTTGAAGAAGAGCAAAGGTCTGGCAACGCGTGCTGGGCTAGAACTTGCACAACTGGCCCATTTCTAGGTGACAACTGAGCCCATAGCGTATCAACCCACAAACAATAGCTCAATAGTCAATTGACCTGCAACCCAGCCCTGCCAGGTGCGCCTGGCTTACCAGCAGCCCAGCGTGGCAGCGTGCAAGTTCTAAATTTCAATTTACCTATTTTAGCATGTCATTGAACATTAATGGTTATGCACACAATCACACGAAACATTGCTCTGGTCCTGCACTCCTGCTTTGTGAGCATGGTGCACAAACACATCAACGATCGCTCAAACGGTTTGTCTTTGCTGGATGCCACATGCTCAAGAATGAATGGCTTAGTCTATGTGCTTTCCTCAATGTCTCAACGAATCATGGAAAAGTTTTTTTGTGGGGGCCACGGCCCAGGTTAGCCGAGCGTAAGCTCCATCAGTGTTTAGAAGCTCAAGTAATTAAAAAGTCAGACTCTTTTTTTAGAAATTCGAAAGACACAAAAAAAAACATCATGTGGTGTTATGTTGCATTGGCAGAGCCAGCAATTGGATGAAGAGGGGCCGGATAGAGCACCCAATGATTGAATCTTGCCCGTGTTGCAACCTGGATTGCAGTTGCAGGGGAGATGAGAAATAGGGAGGGGGCGGGCTTGAACGGCTTCGGTAGAAAACTCAAATTTCGATTGAAATGTGTCATGCAAGCATGCCCGCGCGGGGAGGGGGGGGGGGGGGGGGGGGGTTGTAAGCGACACCTTCAGCCCCCCCTACAATTTTGGTCTGGATCCGCCACTGTCCTCAACCGAGAGAGGTTGAAACCTGATGAAGGAATTTCGTGCTGCACGGAAACATTCGAGAAGAGGCTTGGTACTATGATGTGGTAGCTTCTTTCCTGA